TCTGTTTAGGGCTGCAGCCCTTCCAGTCAACATCTGCACTTGCTTTGCCAATGTTGGGCTCTTTAACTCCAAGATGGCCTTGATTTGATCCCAGCTTGCCTCAATGCCCTTTCTGGTAACCAAGTATCCTAGGAATTTCCCTAAGCCAACTCTAAATGCACACTTCGATGCATTGAGTCGGAGCCGAAATGTCCTTGGGATATCAAAGACTGTCTTTAGGTCGGCCAAATGATCTTCAGGTTCGTTAGTCTTCACAACCATGTCATGAATGTAAACCTCCATTGTTTTGCCTATTAGCTGTCTGAACATCTTAGTCACCAATCTCTGGTAAGTTGTTTCTGCATTTTTCAACCCAAAAAGCATCACTCTATAGCAATACAACCCTTTTAGGATAATAAATGCAGTCTTCTCCTCATTCGGAGGGTACATGGCTATCTGATAATACCCTCTGTAAGCATCCAGGAAGCTCATCCTTCCATGCCCTGAAGTGTCATCCACCAATTGGTCAATCTTGGGTAGTGGAAAATTGTCTTTGGGATAAGCCTTGTTTAGGCTGGTGAAGTCCACACAAACCCTTAACTTTCCATTCTTTTTCTTCACAATAACCATGTCGGGTAGTTTACCTCTCGTATGGCTTTGGCCTCCAGAAGTTTATCCACTTCCTATTCTACCACCTCGACATGCATCAACGTCGGTCTTCTTGCTCGCTGGATGATAGGTTTAGCCGACCTGTCCACATTCAATTTATGGTTAGTGACCTCGGGGTCAATGCTAGACATCTCGTACGGTGTCCAAGCAAACACCTCAAGAATGTTTCTAATTCCTTTTCCTCTTCCTCGGCTAATCCTGAGCCGAGAAGGAAGAAGCACTCTTCATCCCTTGCTAGACTAAGATCTTCTTCAGGGTTTTCTCACTTTTCTCGGCTGGTTCTTTGCCAACGTCCTTAAGGACTTCCATGTCTTCATCTTTAATCTCCGCTGCTTCTGCTTCTCGTATGCTGCAGGTGAATTTCATTGCTTCCATAGAGCAATTCTTTGCCTGCACTTGATCCCCTCTAACCTCCTCAATTCCATGCTCTGTTGGGAATCGCAACAGCTGGTGTAATGTTGAGAGGACAGCCCCCATTGCATGCAGCCATGGCCTTTCCTAGGATAGCATTGTAAGAGGAGGGAGTGTTAATTATTGTGAACTCAGTTTTTACCTTCTTGGTGCCAGCCTGCACCTCTAAACTTATTGCTCCCAAGGGCCACGTCGACATTCCATTGAACCCAACTGTTACACCATTTGATTGTTCCAGATCATCTTGGCGAAGTCCAAGCTCTTTGTAACATAACATACATGATGTCACAGGGTGATCAGAATTCGCTTTACTTGGCATTCTCCAATCTGGAGGGACATTACCAAGGCATCGTTGTGTGGATGCTGCACTATCTCTAGGTCGTCTTCAGTAAAGGACACCACTGGTCCCTGACACTCGTCTACCCTAGGTCTCTTCTGCCGGACCTGATACACATGTTGCAAGTGTTTTACCTTCTGAGTTTCCCCACGTATCTCGTTCTCATTGACCTTCGAGTGAATCACATTGATCACTCGAGGTCCGCCTACTTGTGGTTGCGGTGTTGGTGGAGGTGGTGCTGTCGGTGCCTATGGTAGTCTCGCTTGCTCTTCCCTTGTCCTGGTTTCATCTACCAAGTCCCTTAGATGACCTTGTCTTACCAGGTCTTCTAGATGTGCCTTTAGGGCTCTGCACCCTTGAGTTAGATATCCATCCTCATTGTGGTAGACACAGTGTTTTCCCAGACTTTTTCCCAAAAATTCACCAGGAAGTTTCTCTAGTGTTCCATAATAGGGTTGATTCCAGATTATTTCCAAGACTTTGTAAATCGGAATTCGGAATACAGTTGTGACTGCCTGTGTAGCCCTCAATCTTGTCTCTTGCTTGTTGTATCCATTGTTACCTTGGCCTCGCTTCAGCGAGCCGTTTCTCTTCTCTTGTTTCGACGCCTTTGTCCTCGGCATATCTTCCTCAGCTCTTGCATACTTCTCTATCCTGGCCATAAGTTCCTCCATACTCTTTGGTAGTATCTTTGCCAATGATTTTTAGAGCACACAATCATCTTTCAGGCCGTTCTTAAAAGATACGACCGCCACCTCCTGGTTGCATCCTCGTATTCGGTTGAACACCTCATAATACCTTTTGGCATAGGCCCTAAGGCTTTCATCCTCACCAATTCTCAGAGCCATCAGGGAGTTCACCCTCAATGGCTGTAGTTTGTTTGTCACAAATCTAACTACGAACATCTCGGCCAGGCCTTCCCAGCTTTTCACCATTTCTTTCGGCAATTTATGAAACCAGTCTGATGCGATTTCCCCAAAAGATAAGGGAAACACTTTGCAAAGCAATGGCTCGTTCCCAGTGTATAATGCCATTGAGTTCAGGTACAAGCTGATGTGAAAGTTAGGGTCAGACTTACTGTCGTATATCTGGAATCTCGGCATGTGGAACCTTTTCGGGGCCTCAAACTTGTCCAATTCAATCAAGAATGGCGTTCTCGACTTAACCAGTGATGTTACCTCGGTATCTTGCCGCTTCCTCTGGAGGTAATCCTTCAGATCCTCCTTGGTCCATCCAGGAGCTCGGCTATCAATAGATTTCAGCCTTTTTGGTGCGCTACTCCCGGCGTCATTATGAGTCCTCTTGGACCTCTCTCCATTCGTTACGTCGAAATAAAGTTCCTTCCCTTGAACATGCCGATGTTCTTTGCGGTTAGCTTCTTTGGTACGATGCGTCCTTTGAGAATCTCCCTTCATTGACTCTCCCCGCCCGACCTCCCTTGAAGGCTGGTGAGAGTGTTCCTTGGTCTTGGTGTGCTGGGGGACTACAGGGACTGTTTTCTACCCTTTCTTCTGGGCATTATTTTTGGCCGCTGGAATCGACGTGTCTTGTAACAGAAACAGTGGCTGCATGACGTTGTTCTACATCATGAAATTGACGACCGATTGCAATTCCGCCGATTTGTCTGCCATTTCTTTCATCTCTCCATCTCTCCGCAGGTATTTATCTTTCCATATCTAGAGGTCGTTCTCGTTATAATACCCACCTCGGTCTGCCTTCTTTGGTACGTTGCCCTCCTTGCCGACGTCTTTCTCTCCGGGATTCTGATCCCGAGTTTCTTTATTGTAGTTATCTCCTCTACATTAGACTCAATGTGCTTGCCACTCCCAGTAGGGATGTCGTTCCCAACCTTTTCTTTCTGTCTGTCATTGGCCATCTATTCTCCTTTCTTTCCCACAGATGGCACCACATTGTGTGTGTTTTTTTCTGACCACACTGCCGAACAAATACTTAGTTGGAGAACACCGGCAGAATAGATTACGCCCAAATGACCTGTCACAGAAAGACAAGACTCCGGCGATGGTTCTTCCACCCGAGGGCACTCCGACGATCAAGTCAATACTCAATTTATCTCTCAAAGATAATAATTAGTACTTAACTCACTAGCCAGAATACAAAAAGCTTACCTTAGACCCACGATGGTGCCTTACTTTTATAGCCAACACTGACCTGATCCCTGCAGAAGCCTAACTTCAATGGACTCTGGCTCAATGCTTATCCCAGACTCTTCAATAGATAAAAATAAACTTCCTAAGAGCTTAATTATTTTCCAGGCTGAAGTCCTCCTCCATTCTGGGACTCTTATCCTTTATCCATTCACCTCGGATTCTGGTATCTTCGCAAATAACCTCGGCCTAGTTGAGATCATCTCGGCGTCATGATTGGGACATGTGGCACCTCGGCTGGCACTTCGGTGCCACCTTGGCCACGTGTCGTTATTCAAAAAATGTCCCTACAATCTATACTTTCTAAATTCACAAAACCAAAAATATATATACATATTATGTATATATATATATAAATTTACAGGTTTAGCCCAAGAAAATAAATGCATATATATATGTATGTATATATATTTGCAGGTTTAATTCAAAGAAGGAAGAAGAAGAAGACAAAAGCATAAAGGTCCATTTGCATGTTCTACTAACAGAAATTAGCTTGCATTTTAGTCCATAAATCATAAAAGGATTATGTGATTATTTCTAAATGATAAGAAGATAATCTGCACATGCCCAAATCATAAAGAAATAAAGTGAAATTTGCCTTTTGATTTTTCATAAATAATTCAAATAGTTTACGCATTAAACAATGTGCTTCCTAATGAAATCATACCCAGTAGTACACAAGAATTCTGTACAATTGAGATCAAATCATTACAACAAAAGACAGATTTGGCGACTAACTTTTTAGTCGCTAAAGGTCCAGTTTTGGCTGCCAAAACCTTTTGCCTACTAATTTTTTTGGTCGCCACGCCACCTGTGTCATTGAAAGATGGTCAGGGAAAGTAATTGGCAACTAAAAAAATTTTAGTCGCTAAAAGCATGCAATTGGCGACTCATAATTTAGTCGCCAAAAATGTTTCAACTAAATTTAACATGACATTTTCAGTGACTAATATTTTTGGTCACCAAAACCTAAACTGTTTAGCTACTAAAACTTTAGTCGCCTAAGATCTAACATTTTCTGTTTGGCTACTAATATTTTAGTCGCCAAAAACAATTTTCAACGACTAATATTTTTGTCGCCAAAGCTTAAATTGCTTAGCTACTAACACTTTCGTCACCTAAGGTCCAATATTTTCTGTTTTGGCTACTAATAGTTTGGTCATCAAAAGTGTTTTTCCTCTTCTTTTTTTTTTTGGCTACTAAATTATTAGTCGCCTAAAGTCTTATTTTTTATGGCTACTAAATATTTAGTCGCCAAAAAAATTGTTTTCATTTAATTCTTTTTTTTAGCTACTAACTATTTAGTTAGCAAAAATATTAACTTTATTTTTGGCTACCAATTTTTTAGTCGCCAAAACATCATTTTAAGTTTTTTTTTTAATTTGTCCACACCCACAACCTGTATTATACATATATTATCATCCATTCAACTACATCCATTTCACTTCTAACCATCTAAAAATTAATACCTTCAAATGTCAATAATTCCATACAAATCAAATACATTCCAATTTAAAATAATAATTCCATGCATAACATAAATGATCATAGGGAAATTTCATCCTCTGTGTACACAAATATATTTACTACTATGCCAAATGTTGGCATGGTACAAAATATCAATAGACAGATCAGCAGAGCAGCAAGATATTGCATTGCAGCAGACAGATAGCAAACACGGATTTGTACAAATTCAATATAATAAAGACACCAACAATCCTATTTGAGAACATCTAAAAGGGCTAGCGCATATTGGTAGCCTGGCCCTCTTGATGTCCTTCAAGCTCTCACGAAATAGAGCAGCCTCCAACACACCTCAGCACTACCTGTGAACACCAATAAGGATAAACAGACCCTATAAGAAACTGTGCTCAGATCTGTAACAAGACTCACTTTACGTAACCTCACAAACTCAACCCACATATAGGCACTCAAGTTCAGCAAAGATTAGATAAGCACAGAGGAGAAGAAGAAAAATAAAAATAAAAAAGCTCTCCAAGAATGTAGATCTCTCTTACACAAAGTACCAGCTTAGTCACTTGCAGGCACAATAGTTAGAAACAAATTATAACTGGTACTCACATCACTCAACCTTCAAGTTCACAAATTGATTTTATATTAGACAAGGAAACAGGCACTACATCGTTACACATACTGCATCCAATAGTGGAGCTTTTAGCAAATCCATCGCCCTTTTATAAAGTCCTTACAAATTAGTAAGAAACCAATGAGAAGAAATATACATATATCCTTATGCATGCTAAAACCCTAGTCATACCTCAAAATTAGAACAACAACACATTTAATTATGAGATCAATTCAAGAGAGTTGATAAATCAATGAAGCCATGTCAAAAGAGTTCAACTGACAGCATATGGCAGAGGATTGCTCCACCAGATCCAAGTTTAAAGTATTCCAAATCATTTAGTTATGTGAGTAAACATTCTATTTTCCTTCACAGTGCTTACTTGAACAACTCAAGTCTAAATTAAACTCATGTTCCTCAATGCCAATATGTCAAAAACATGGCTTCTATTAATTTATGGTCTTCTTTTTAAACAATAAAATCAGTTTCCTAAAATGATTAAATCACACCCCTTGGTCAAAAAAACTCCCATTTTGTATAGATCCAACTGTGAGATCATGAAAAATAAAGTCATTGTAAGAACTCAAAAAAAGTTTGGTGAAACAACAAGGTGGATAGTATGTAACTTCTTCTAACCTTTCGAATCAAAATTGAACTTGAATGCTCCAACATTACTTTATGTCGAAACATGAGAGAAATCTATTGAATTTGTTCATTTGTTACAACTTCATTGTATCATTTGTATACCTCTAATTTGTTCATCGGTTGGCTCATTTTATTTTTTTGGACATTTTAGAGAAATCTATTGAATTGGGCATTCAAATATGCACAATAATCATAAGGGAAACATAATTTAGAAGTCCTTGAACTAAATACAATACATAATTAATATAAAGAAACTTCCAAACGTGAAAAAGAGAAATCTCAACAAATATACGGAAAGTATAGAGGTTCTAACCAATTAATAGATATTTTAATCACTTTGTTTTGATGCAACTTTGTTTTGTAGCTTATGAGATAGAATTAGTATAAATAGTTAGAAAAAAAAAATTAGTAATCTAGAACCTAAGAAAGGGGAGACTTTTAGATCTTAATTTTTTATTTTGAACTGTCAGTTTGAAAAAAAGTTACACCAAACATATTATAGTCTAACAATACATTTTAAAAATATATAGAAAAAGCACAAAAAATGTAATCCATCTGTAAAATGGATAAACCCAAAATCTCAACAACTGAGACAATAATACCGTCAAACACCAACACCCTTTTGGAAGATTAATTTGTAAATACTAATGTAGTAATTAGACAAATGGATTAGTTATGTACTATTGCTATCAAATATGAATCAACCATAGGTCTCTCTATGTGATCAATAAATTCCAGATGTTCATGGAAGGAGTGACATGAAGGGTGATGAGTGAGTGAACTACTTTCTTGTCTATGATTCCAGATGTAGAAAAAAGATGATTTCCAATGTTTTGTAATCAATTTTTCATTCCTTCTTCCCACCACCGTCTAGTCTTCCCAGCCCTAGCTATCAAAAACAATCTCCATTACGTATTACCAATACATTAATGTAAAGCATGAAAAATAATGAGGCTACTAAACCAATACATTCAAAATTAGTTACCCATATTATTGAGTACAAAATTTGTAATTTGTTTTCTATCACGCTTCCTAAACATGGGTGGTTAGATAAAGCTACCATTGAAGAAACATCCAACTTTTCCATGAGTAGTTCAAAAGAACAAGAAAGTAGAGTTTTTTAGCCAGACAAACATAAAAGCGTAATAGTAAAAGTTTGAAATTCATTTGGTTCCTAAAATTTTCTCAGCATACAAACAAGAGGTTCAAAAACTAAATAAAATTTAGCAAACAATCTAGAGAAATGTTCAGATCAAGTTTTAAAGCCAAAGCGAATCAAGATTTAAGTTTCTTTATTAGCAAAGAAAAGCTTTTTTGAATCAAAACATTACAATACAAAATAGAGTACATAAAGAGAAACATCAAATAATACAAAGCCATGTGTAATGAAGCAGAGTAGAGAACTAAACTAGACAAATGGCTGAACTTGTTTGTATTTCAAGACCAAAACAGAACAAATGAAAGTAAGATATATGCCCTCAAAAGCAAAAACACACCAAACCTCCCAAACGCATCTTATTCATAGGCTAATAATAAAGTTAAGTGCTTAATTAACAAGATAGATGGTAATTTGCAAGCATCTTATTCAACCCAAGTGGTATTTCCAAACTTTCTCCATGAAACCGATTAAGTAATTAAACTGGTAGCATATGAGTATGGTGGTGGTGGTGCTATATCACGTAAAACCATATCCCATAGCTAACTATCAAAAACAATAGGGAGATGTGCATCCAATTTACAGCTTCATCCAAGAAACCATAACTTGAAGACACAAAACAAAACTTTAAAAACCAGCAAAATAAAACAAAAAATTGTTTATATAAAAGTTTAGAATATTTATTTATTTATTTTTAAAATAAAAGGAAAGGAACTATAAACAATAAAAAGATCAACCAGCAGTGTGACTCAACAATGACAGTGCCTACAAACAACCAAACATTACTCACTAATTTACAACAGAATTACAGTAAAAAGATGTACAGCATTAACATTTCAACAGTACAATGAGCATCACAGTACAAACAAAACCCAAATCTCTTACAACTCACACATTAAGCTAATATATTTCTAAAATCAAATTAAGCTCATGAGCTTGAATTTGGGATTTTTGTCTAGAAATTAACACAAACCCTATAGCAAGTGTAGGAAATCAATACAAAATGAACACAAAAATCTGGATTTTGAGCTAAGAAATCAACACAAAATCAAACAACAAAAATCATACAAAACCCTAGAGCTACGTGTGAGAAATGGGGAAATAGAGGAAGGGAGGGAGGAGGAGAGAGAGAGAGAGAGAGAGAGAGAGAGAGCGAGATCGACAGAGAGGGATCAAGACTGAGAGCGACAGAGAGGGAGAGACCGAGAGCAACAGGGCGGAAGAAAAATACCTGTGAGTAAGTGACGCTGGTGATTTGCAGGTGGCGATGTGCGCTGGTGGCAAGCGTCGGTGGTAAGAGGGGGTGAGGTTTGGTGAGAGCAAAAAGTGTTTGAGACAGAATAGTGTATATCGTGTGTGTGAGAGAGACAGAACATACAGTGTATATATATTGGGCGCCAAAATCAATTGTTTTTCCTCTTTAAAAAAAAAAATCAACCTTTAGCAACTAAATTATTTTTTTGTCGCCAAATAGTGCTGAATAACGACTAAAATTGTTATGCAGCCAATGATTAATTGATAGCGACTAATATATTGGTAGCCAAAAGTATCATTTGACTACTATTTTTTTTTTTCGTCGGCAAAAATTAAATATACGGCTACTTAATTTTTTTGTCACCAAAAGGTGTAAAAAATGTCTATAATATTTGGCAACTAAACTATATTTTTGTCAGCAATTAACCTTAATCAACGACTAAACCTACAATTAGTAGTGTAAAATATAAACTTTTGGCGACTAATTATTATTTAGTGGCCGATTACTATATATTTAGTGACTAAATTTTGTTTTAGTCGCCAAAAAGACAATATATCGCGACTGAATTCAAATAGTAGCTGAACTGTGAATCTTTGGCGACTGATTTTTTTTTAGTCTCCAAAAGGGATATTTTTGGAGACTAAATTTGTTTTGGTCGCCAAATATATATTTTCTAGTAGTGAATGGTTACAAATTTGCTTGTATATATCAATGGGTGTGTGATTTTGATTTAAAATAATATATATTGTGTTTTGTTTAAATAAAGATGTTATTTTTTTAATAATTATTTAAGTTGTTTTAACTCACTCAACTATATATGTCCTGATGTCTCTTTTCTAATCCCCCAATGCTCGAGTCCTGTTTCCACTTTGGCCGTCACTTTTAATATATGTGGTTTTTTTTTTTTTTTTTTTTTTTTTTTTATGAAACTGCTTTTTTTGGGCTTTTTTTTTTTTTTTAGGATAAAAGACATCTCAATTAATTTAATTTCAAAAAGCCTTTCAGAAGAGGCACGTGGCTCAATAAAGACATACCATAATTTCTCGTTCTTCTTCTTTTTTTTTGACAATATTATCCTTCAATGTATATATATATATATACTAGTGGGTGGCACACACACGATGTGTGTGCAATTTAAATAAGTAGCAATAAAAAAAAAATAATGAAGTTCATATTATAATGTGTACTTAGCTTAAGTGGTATGAATCGTCGTACTTAAACCCATGGTCATGGGTTCAAGCCTTGCCCATCTCTTTGTTTAACTTTTTTTTAAAAAATAAAAAATACTGCCACATGGCATGAGGAGAGTGAAGCTTCAGGACACCATATTATATGTTCACTTTATAATAGTATAGATATATATTTGAAAATTCAATCTCATATATTTGAGTCAATGAAGGCGATTTCCGAAATCAATGAAATCTAAAGATTTAGCTGCCGAAGATCTCGTTGTTGATCAACAATAGACTATTTTGCAGACAACGATCTCACCGAATTTGCCACATGTTCTCTGGCAATCTCGAAATTTGTATGAACGAGAGCTTACATTCCAAATTTATATAATCTATATCTGATTTTGAGAGTTTCATTGAAATTGAGAGTGTTGATCGAGTTTTAGAGGTTTTGCTTCGATCACGTGTTTGATTATTATTTGAGTTCGATCAAGTATGTTGATTTGTTGATTAATTATTTTTATTTGCTTTTTTTTTTTTGATTTATTTTTATCGTGTATGATTTGATTTTATTTGATAGAATGAGAGAAAAATTTTATTCTGGTACTATGTGCTTTGTTTTTATTTGTTAGAATGAGAGTAAAATTTTACTCTTATATTTATGTACTCTGTTTTTGTTTGATAACACCAGAGTAAAATTTGACTCTAGTGTTATGTGCTTTATTTTTATTTGACAAAATGAGAGTAAAATTTTATTTTATTTTTATATATTTTATTTTTGTTTAATAGAATAACAGTAAAATTTATTTCTAATGTTGTGTTTTTGTGTTTTAAACAATGAAATAGTGGGAAGGGAGAGAAACCGTTTAATCGTTTCATATTTATCCATTTACATGGAAGGATTTTTCAATCTTCTAATTATATTTTTTTAAATTTGAGGGAGTTTTGAGGTTATCGTTTTATTTCGTGCGCCTCAAAAAAAAACGAGGCAAAAAATCCCTAATATATATAGCATTGACCCAACGACAAAAGATGGCTTTGCCGTGCACGTAACAAAGTGTCGGAAATTGAATTCCAAATTGTCTTATCTTTGAGGACCTCGATATTCTTTGACTTTTCTAAAATGTCCTCTTTTTTTTTTTTTAAGGATAAATTATGGGGCCGTTTAAAAAGTTAGTTATTTTAGTTTTGATTGTTTTAATAAGTTAAAATATTTATGTTTAGAAAAAGAGTTAATTTTTTTTTGTAATTTGATGTAATATTTATGAAAAAAAAATAAAATAATTATAAATTTGATGATATTTTATTTTATTAATTATTTTAATTTATATTTTTTTCTTTTTATAGATTTTAACCCAAAAAGCTTAAAAAAATCTTTTGCCAAACACCCCCTATAAATATTTGATTACAAAAAAAAAAAAAAATCCCATAAATACATCACCTAAGGTTTGATTAAAATACAAATCACCTCATGTAGTTCTGAAAATTATATTTCACCCCTTGAAGTTTCTAATTTCATAACAAATCGCTCATTTTATTAATAAATTATCAAGCCAATTAACAATTTTTAATGATGTTAGAAAAATGTTTTAATTAATAATTTAGATAATTTTATTATAATTTCGGAGAGCAATTATGAAGTTTATTTTTTTAGTTAATTCAGCTAAATAAAAAATTTTAACAAAGGGGCATTTTTCATTTTCCAAACTATAGGAGTAATTTGTACTTTAAGAAAATCTCATGGGGTGTATTCGTAATTTAACCATTTTTTACGGTAGATTAGAAAGAAAATTAGTGAAACATCCATCTTCAACGTTTAGTAGTAGAAGATGTCCTATATATTTTTTCTTATCAATTAAGATTTTTCAATAATATTATTAGAGAAATTTCAGCTCGTCACAGAGAAGGGCTGACATTTCTATGTGAAGACAAATTCCTATGTGCTGAATTTTCTCTATGTCGAAATTTCTCTATGAAAATGTTGAGGGACCCCACTATTATAAAATATTGCATGTCTTTTAATCTAATAAAATATTAATATGAGGGATAATTCCAAATTACAATACACTTATGATGTTTGTTTAAAATATGAATTATCTCTGTAATTTGGAAAATTACATCTCACCCCTAAAATTTCTAATTTTATAACAAATAATCTCTTTTATTAATAAATCATCAAGTTAATTAACAACTTCTAATGATATCAAAAATTTATTTTGATTAATAATTCAGGTAATTTAATTATTGTATAGGAGAGTAGTTAGAAATTTTATTTTTGTAATTAATTCTGTTAAATAAAATATTATAACAATTAGATATTTATAATTTTCAAATTACATGAAAAAATTATATTTTAAACAAAATTCATGGGTATATTTATAATTTATTTTAATTTTTTTTATAATAAAATATTCATTAAAATAAAAAGCATATATCAGTCAAATGTCGTTTGCGACCGATGACGAAATTTCCATGTACTACCGTATTTGAATTCAACACGCCATTTATCGTATTTTATTACTAAACACAAGCCTAAAAAATAAATAAAAACACCGAAATTTCCATGTACTGGCCTATTTGAATTCAACACGCCATTCATCGTATTTTATTACTAAACACAAGCCTAACACATAAATAAAAACACAATGCTTAGCTTGTGTCTCTAGCCCATTATTTTTATGTATAGATTATTTATTAAAAAAATTATTCATAAAAATATTAGATTAGATTAATTTAATAATTATAGTAGATAGATGATTTAATGCTTTTTTTTTTATTTAAAAAAAAAGACAAGTATAATTTTAAAATTAAATCATTCATTTTTTTAAAAATAAATATAATTAAATCATAAGATTACAACTATTAGATCAAATTATTTTATTATTTTATGAATATATATGATTTACACACAAAAATCGAAAAAATCAATGGATCAAATTATTTAAATGGAATCATTAGAAGTCTTATCTATCTGAATAAATTATGTGGTCATACTTTCATGTATATAAATACACATGACAACAAACATGGCGCTCCAAATACAAATCATAAGCTAGGAAGACTAGACAGAGCAAAGGAATTATTTTATTTTATTTTTTAGGGAGGGGGGAGAGATGTATGTGGCAAGGCCTCTTTCATACTACCTAAGATCTCCTGAATATCTTTCATTACCACCAGAGGGTCCAAACTCTGGTTATTTGGTAATCCAAGACGAAGAATCCGAGACTACTACTTGTTTCGGATTGTGTAAGAATCGGTATCTAATCAATCTGCCTTTCCCTCAGAACAAGGACCTCACTGTTCAAGACTCGTCCGGTACTGTTTTTTATGATGCTACCTTTGTTCCAGTTCTAAATCAGCCACTGTCTTCCAATCTGTATTATGCAATAAAGCTACATGGGTCTCGTAAAGGGTATGTATACTATGCAATACCTTCATTGTCTTGCTTGCCAATTGACATAATTTGTTTATGCTCGGTCTGAACATCGTATAACAGTGTTAAATTTAGATGGTAAGTGTGGTTGGTGATGGGCAATAATTAAGGTCTTCTCAAGGGTCAAACATAGCTCTGCCCAGGTACAATTATTCATGAAATTAGGATCAATATTGAATAAGTAATTTTAATGAAGAGAATATGCCCAACTGCATCATCATATTTTTATACCCAACAAATGTCTAATTAATGATGATATATATTTTGAAAGTAAAAATTGATATTGTACTATACACTTTGGACGAATTTTCTCAATTACTAGTTGCATGTTAGAATCTGAATCTGTCCCTGGATTGGAACGTATTGCTAGGTTTCTCTTACTACTTGATTTCGATTGCCTTCATAGGGAAGCATATGCTTGTTCAAGGGAGGAAGACATGCGTACCTGTTGTTTTTGCAACTGCATTCGAGACGTTGATCCAAGACCACTAGATCCTAATGACATATATCAGCAATTTCAGATCATTCCTTATGCAACAGCTTGCAGAAGTGGTGGTACATTTTATGCTACATCAATTTTACCAGATGCTTTTCCTCCGTACTTCTTAAGAACAAAAGGGTGGGAAATTTATACCAAAACTGTTGAATTCACCCCATGTGAAGGAGGTGATGCTCTTCCATGGGAACACACCTTGGTCAACAATGGAAGGCCACCAACCATCTTGAAGAGTCAAGGATGGAGGCTGCCCAAAGGCTCTCCCACCTACTCCCTCACCTATAAATGGAGGTTGAGAGGAGAGAGCAAAATGTGAGCAAACCGTGAGACAACAAAGAGAGTGAGAGATGTGAGGCGGAGAGACCGTCTCCCTCGGTGTGAGCGAGGGAGACGGGTGAGTGGCTGAGTGAGGAGAGTGTGAGCTCCTCCTCTATTGTAATCTTTCTGTAATCTCCTCATTGGTATAGTGATAAACGGTTACTCTCCCGTGGACGTAGGCATTGGGCCGAACCACGTAAAATATTGTCTCCTTGTGTGTGGGTGTGTTTTTCTGCTTGCAATGATTTCTATAAGGTCTTGGGCGGGATCCCAGATCCCAACAAAGTTATCATCTTTGTATTTTTGATTGTTAATACTAATTATGATATTATTTTAATTATAATTTAATAGTTATTTAGTTATATCTAATGTTATAATTCAATTATTTTATTTTATTTTATTTTATATTACTATTGCATTTTAAATTTTTCAACAAAATTTTCGATTAGGAGTCACATACTTTGACCCGTGTTATAATTGTGGATCCATCCCTACGTTAGAGAGGATGTTGGATTTTGATAATGTTAGAAATGGGCGCCTATGCGGCATGACCATTTCAATGCTTTGAATTTATAACTGTAACTCCTGCATTAATGGGGTTTGTAACTCCTGCCTTTATTGTAGAGGTTAATGGTGCATTAATAACCAGCCATAAAGGCTGGAGGCTTTTCCTCTCTCCCCTATACATGTATAAATTGAGACCCTCCTGTCAAGTCTAAGACACAGAAATTTCCCATATTCTGACTCTCTCCCAAATACAACGATCAAAGCCGTTTGCACTGTGATTTATGTGGGTGATATTCATTCTGTAATATCACTCCACTGCTGGGTTGGTTTATCAGATTCTGGAAGTACGTGATTTACCCACGAGGTTCTTCGCTAAAAGGTATGATTCTGACATTTTATCCGCTGCGTTATAATGCTTTATGATTTATATTGGTATCAGAGCATGTATGGGTATTTTCGTGCTTTCTTTTATCATGTGTATATTTACATATATACATGACTATTTATTATGGAGGAAGATGTCCAATAAAATATGTCATTTCATGTTCATAAATGTCATTTTTTATGCCATAAATGTTTTTATTGTGAAAAATGGAGTCCGGTAGTACAAAAATCATTCCAGAAAATACTAGAAAATTCCAGAAAATTTCAGAAGTGATATAGTTTCTGTTATGGCATAATTTGAATATTAAATACAGCATATTGTTATTTTATTAATCTTTACTTGAATGGAGAAATTATTTGAGAATAATAAAACATTCAATTAATTTGTTATGTGTAATAATTAAAATCTATTTCTCCATCTTTATTTATCTCATTTAAACTTTTTTTTATTAAATTAAATCTTAAAATTAATTTATCACCTTCATTAATGGTTGAATTTTTATTTTATTTTTTGTTTATAAAGGTTGAAAAACTTCTTGTGGAAAAAAATAGAGTCAAGAAATTACATTTATATTTTGAAAAAGTTATGAAAAATAAATAAGAATTTCATATATATTTAATAGGATAAATTAAATTTAGCACATTTAATGTTAAGATTAATGTTGATAATTAGTTTGATTTAATTGTCAGAAACTTCAGTAGAGGTAAGATTTTTTTTACTTCTATATTTAATTTTTAATTTTTTTAATCATGCAAAAAATATTTTTTTTTTTAATATGAGACCAGAAGCCATGGGTGCGAGCACTATGCACGGAGTTGCATAGTGGTAACTTGTACAGACCGGTGGAAGTTGTCTTGACAGAAGGGCTAACTGTCAAACATCAGTACGGACAAGTGAGACAGAACCGAACATCAGGGATTGCAGCACAGACAACAAGCGTATGTGGAAACGCCAGGAGGTTGTTCAGAAGTGCAGAAGGGCAAAGGCTGGTTGTTCAGAAATAAGCTCCGAGCAAGGAAACTTGAGGATGTTGATGCGTCAAACTCTGAAGTTTTCTAGTTGCTCCAGTGTTCATCATGCAAGGAGTTGCATGATAGTCAAGGGCATCCAAGCAGGGGGTGCAGGACATCCAATCAGGGGGTGTCGGATATCTTGGTTGCGCAAGTTCAAGGATAGCAGGTATAGACATCCGAGACAGGAAGCATGGAAGAGATCTGTGGGAGATAGGAGCAGTGGCTCTCTCCAAATCAGAGAGTGGTGTGAGTTGAGTTGAGGATGTCGGATTCCCTCCTCCTCTTGTATCTCTGGTGTTTTATCTCTAGCTTCAGGGGATGCAGCGTCTCAGTGAAGAGATGCAGACTTTGTTGAATTTGGGCGTGACAAGATTAGCAGCAGTGTGTGCAGTGGATCACCTCACATGGGTTGAGGGGGTGATTTGTTGAATTCACCCCATGTGAAGGGGAAATTGTCTTGTGAACACACCTTGGTTGGTCAACAAGGAAGTAGGCTACCAACCATGTCAAAGAAGGAGGCTGCCGAAGTCAAGCATGGAGGCTACCCAAAGGCACTCCCACCTACTCCAATGTGTATAAATGGAGGGTGAGAGGAGAGGCCAAAATGTGAGTAAGAGAGTGAGTGAGCAAACCGTGAGACAACAAAGAGAGTGAGAGATGTGAGGCGGAGAGACCGTCTCCCTCGGTGTGAGCGAGGGAGACGGGTGAGTGTCTGAGTGAGGAGAGTGTGAGCTCCTCCTCTATTGTAATCTTTCTGTAATCTCCTCATTGGTATAGTGATAACCGGTTACTCTCCCGTGGACGTAGGCATTGGGCCGAACCACGTAAAATATTGTGTCTCCTTGTGTGTGGGTGTGTTTTTCTGCTTGCAATGATTTCTTTAAGGTCTTGGGCGGGATCCCAGATCCCAACAAAAACACCCAAAAACTATGAACTAGGTGAAGCGCTAGGCATCAATACTGCCCTCCGTGCCAGCCTTCCAGCATTCGATTTCCCACTATCCTACAAGAGCTCAGAAGCCATTGTTGTGGGGAAGTGGTATTGTCCTTTCATGTTTATCAAAGACGGAACACTGAGAGATCAGATGAAAATATCAATGTTCTATGAGATGACACTTGAGCAAAGATGGGAGCAAATATTCACTTGTGAAAATGGTTACAATCAAGGGAACGTTGTGTCTGTGGATGTCACAGTCCAAAGAGAAAGGGTCATTGTGGTGGGTAGAGAAGCGGTGTGGGATGAGAATAATGTGGCCAATGGGGTGATTTGGTTTACGAGCTTTGGTGGTGTAGGAGAAGAGGTGAATATTGGGTTGAGCTCGCTAATCGTTGATCGTATGAAATGGGAGCAAGAGAGAGGAGGGTGGCTTGGCGGCGAAAAAAGGCAAGTGACGGTGAATAAAACAGAGGAGTATGCAGGGATTGGTGTTGGTGGGTGGAGTAGGTTTGGTTGCTATGTGCTGGTTGAGAGGTTTGTGTTGAAAAGAATGGATGGAAATGTGGTATTAACCTATGATTTCAAGCACACTCATGTGCTTAGGAGCAAATGGGAATGAAAGAGTTTGGAATTCTTACAAACTTCCATTTATCTTTATCATCTTATGTGTATATGATGTTGTTTGATTCTATGCTTGTATTTTATTTTAATTTTTTGAAACGAGGAGAGGAATAAGAAAATTTGAACGAGCTTGTCTTGATTTCTTTTCTGTATATATAATATGACCTTGTTTGTATTGTTTGAATGCTTTTGTTGGATCATGGAATTCATTTTCTTTGTTTATCTTCCTGATCGAAACTAATTTTTCTTGGAAGAATAAAGTAGTCTTTCCACTAATTTATTATCTTTTGAGAATAAAAAGAATAATGTTATATGCACCAATTAATATACTAACTAATGTATTAACAAATAATGTGATACAATTTTAGATGTTTTGAGTATTTGTAATTTGTATAATAGGTGAGATCAGTAATAATGTCATAACATTAATTGGTACACTAATTAGTATATATAGCACCACCAAAATAAAAATTTAGATACAGAAAAAGCTTTTATTGAATATGTAACACCAACAAGGTTAACCAATCCCAACATGCATTTAGGATTAGAAATCCCAAGTTTAATGGCCAAGAAGCTACACAATAATGTAGAGAAAATTATAACAAAAAAACTCTCCATTTTATTTTTGTAATAAAATAAATTTTGATTTTTAATTTTATCAATTTAATTTCAAGATGATGAATGTGGACGAACACACTTTTCATGTGGACGATTTTGTTATTTTATAATTTTAATAAATGCATCAATTAAATTGTGTTATGTGTGTTTGTAACATTTGCTAGACAATTTGCTTCAATTGTTTAGGATTAGTCATTGGTGATTTATTTTTATTTTTAGTTTTAGTTTTTGTTGATTTTTTTTTAATTTTAAAAATTTTCAAATTTCTAAAATGTACTTGACTTGATGAATCAAAAAATTTTTAAAAAGTTTCAATAGGTGAAATTTTTTTTAAAAAAAGTTGTTTATTTATTTATTTATTTTGTTGGTGTGTTCAGTTAAGTATTGTTTGAATGCTTGTGTTGGATCATGGAATTCATTTTCTTTGTTTATCTTCCTGATCGAAACTAATTTTTCTTGGAAGAATAAAGTAGTCTTTCCACTAATTTAGGCCAAGTTTGGGAAGACTAAATAAGTGTACTTTTTGACTTTTTATGAAATATGAGTTGGATTTGGGTTGGGTTTGAAGTGATGTGTTAGAGAGGTGATGTGACTTAAATGAGATGATGTGACTTAAATAGGATAGTGACTTTTTGACTTTTTGAATTTTTTGAAAGATGCCAAACTTGGCCTTATTATCTTTTGAGAATAAAAAGAATAATGTTATATGCACCAATTAGTATATTAACTAATGTATTAACAAATAATGTGATACAATTTTAGATGTTTTGAGTATTTGTAATTTGTATAATAGGTGAGATCAGTAATAACGTCATAACATTAATTGGCACACTAATTAATATATATAACACCACCAAAATAAAAATTTAGATACGGAAAAGCTTTTATTGAATATGTAACACCAACAAGGTTTACCAATCCCAACATGCATTTAGGATTAGAAATCCCAAGTTTAATGGCCAAGAAGCTACACAATAATGTAGAGAAAATTATAACAAAAAAACTCTACATTTTATTTTTGTAATAAAATAAATTTTGATTTTTAATTTTATCAATTTAATTTCAAGATGATGAATGTGGACCAACACACTTTTCATGTGGACGATTTTGTTATTTTATAATTTTAATAAATGCATCAATTAAATTGTCTTATGTGTGTTTATAACATTTGCTAGACAATTTGCTTAAATTGTTTAGGATTAGTCATTGGTGATTTATTTTTATTTTTTAGTTTTTGTTTTTGTTGATTTTTTTTTTAATTTTAAAATTTTTTAAATTTCTAAAATGTACTTGACTTGATGAATCAAAAAATTTAAAAAAAGTTTCAATAGGTGAAATTTTTTTTAAGAAAAGTTGTTTATTTATTTATTTATTTATTTGGTGTGTTCAGTTAACTCTTTTTAAATGTTTTCAAAAATTTTAATTGTAGCCACATGAATTTATCTCCAAACAAGTTTTTATTTGAGTTTTTAAAATTTTTGTAAATATAAACAGAAAACTGAAAACGTAAGTGTTACCAAACAACACCAAACATACAAAAAAATTGATAAGAATGATATGGTAATACCATTATTATAAATATAGATCTATCTTCAATGATTATTTTGAAGTAAAAGGTTCACAATGAGTAATATCTATGAATTTTTTATTTATATTACATTACTCTTTTGAAAATAAGCTATTTACATTTTTAACATTAATATAATAAAGTCATATTGCGACCATTATCGAATTAATTTCGTTTTTTATACAATAATTTAGATTAAAAAACTAAGGGAAAAACACAGCTTCAATGGTACATATAAAAAATTAATTACTTATTAATAAAAAAATTATAATTTATAATTTTAATATTTATTATTAATTTGTAAATATTTTTTTAAACTTTATACTGAAATGTAAGTTTGCAAAAAATAAAGAGAATATTAGTCTAAGATCCCTCTTTCAATTTTAGTAATGGGAGAGATCCACAAAATTATTTTGTTATGTGTAAGGTCTATCACCCACCCCCATATATCTCACCCACCAAAATGAGTCTCACTGAAAACTCCAAGTACCATCCTATTCTCCTCTCCCTTCAACAATACTTTCACTCACTCACTTACCATCTTCGAAGATTCTGAATCCAATTCCTAGAAAAGTACAAATCCAAACTCCAATTTCTTTTTATTTCAATTTGATTTGACTTTCTTTGATTTTAATGGCGATGGAAGACAGAGAAATTCATTCCTCCTAATTCCCTCCTATTTGTTTTCCTTGAAAAAGATTGCAAAATTAAAATAATTAGATTACCTTCTCGTGTTCGCGATTTCAACCTCGTCCTACAATTTCCTCCCTCTCCAAGCCAGTCCGAGGACAAGGTTGGATCCGAGGAGGAAGCTGAGGCCAAAAAGTCCTAGAAGGTTGTGGATGCTGGGGTCAAGTCCCCAACTCTGAATGAGCAAGTTTTGGACTTGACTCAAGATGAGGAGGACAAGGTCTCAAAAGATGCCGCTCCTGAGAAGACAACATCTGACGCACCTATTGCCGAGAAAAGCATCGACCAAACTCTCCAAAAAATCGATGTCGAGCTCGCGGCTAAGAAGGCCGTCGAGAAGAGTTCTCAAATGTCTTCCGAGCCCCAAACCGGTCCAGCTGATAATGCCGAATAGTCTAATCTTGAAGCTTTTCCTTTGTACTTAGTACTTTTTTCTTTTTGAACAATGTTTAGCTCTTTATTTGGCCGATGTGCCTTTTAGTAATCTGAATAATTATTCTTCAATGTCAGGCCAAAATGCCTTCTTTCCTTATTTGAATGCATTCTCTAATTTCTTCTTTCAATGTGATTGTATGTTTGTATGCTTTACTGCTTCCATACTTAGAATCTTTTGCATGTCTTCAGTTTATGCCTTTTTTGTATGGTCTCCTCAGATTAATATACCTCGGACAAAACTTTCAATCTTGCTTATCTCGACCTTGGCTTAACCCTTGAAAACATTGTAGAAAATATTTTCACAAGTGCTATATAAAACCTGCCACTTTACTTTTACTTAGCAAGACTTCTATCTTCAAATATCTTCCAAGTCTTGGCAACATAGTAATCTCGGCAAGTACGTAGATACTTCTTTTAACATAATCTTGGCTTAACTTCAACTTGTAAATTTTTCTTAAAATTTCAACAAGTGTTAAACCATCCTTCCTTTAACATAACCTTGGCTTAACTTCAACTTGTAAATTTTTCTTGAAATTTCAACAAGTGTTAAACCAACCTTAGCTTGTAGATTCCAATTCCCAAGCATCATTCTCCAGCCCTCTGCCCTCTAATGTGAACTTAAGTTCCACTTGGGTTCTCATTAAGTATGTGGATTTGACCTCGTCGCCGAGGCCAAATTCAAACAAAGATTGGCCGAGGTTACCAACCTTGGTCTCTTTGTTAATCTAACTGACCTGTACTTAGTTTCAATCTGTGTCTGACTCTGCCGATATGGCAAGTCTAGGTTAATTCAACTTAGTTCAATTCTATTACATGTAAGTATAATTCAACTCTATCATATAATAAGTCTAAGTTATTTGTCATGTTTCAATCTGAAACATCGCCAACTTAGTTCAACTCTATTATATACAAGTATAATTCAACTCTGCCATATAATAAGTCTAAGTTATTCGTCATGTTTCAATTAGAAACATCGCCAACTTAATTCAACTCTATTAAATGTAAGTATAATTCAACTCTGCCATATACTAAGTCTAAGTTATTTGTTATATTTCAATCAGAAACATCGCCAAGGGACTGTTCAACCGTGTTACACAAGTTTGAAATAAAAAATCAAGCTAAAATTTTATTATTACTTTGGCTAATAAGTGAAAACTTAAAAAAAAAAAAAAATCTAATGATAGAAAAACTTCAGGTTGCAAGTATTCCAAGGTCTTGGCAACTCTTTTCACTGCCTTTAAGCCGATATGCACCATTGCCTAGGATCGAGATGATTCTATAAGGTCCCTCCCAATTTGGGCCAAGCTTACCCTTTCTGGGATCCTTCTTATTGCCGACGACCTTTCTTAGGACGAGGTCTCCAACTTGGAACTCCCATGGATTAACCTTCTTATTATAAGCCCTGACAAGCTGCTGTCGGTATGCCCCCAACTAAATTGTTGCTTTCTCCCTTCTTTCTTCTAGCAAATCCAGATCTCAGGCCAAGAATGCCTCATTGGTCCCATTTTCTACTCCCTGGGTTCTGTTCCCTGGGATGCCGACCTCTAATGGAATAACTGCTTCTGTGCCATAAGCCATGGCAAATGAGGACTCCCCAGTTGATCTTCTCGGCATAGTCCGATATGCCCAGAGTACATTAGGCAACTCTTCCATCCACTTTCCCTTTGCTGCTTCCAGCCTCTTCTTGATTCCATCCAAGATAACCTTATTGGAGGCTTCTGCTTGACCATTACTCTGAGGAAAGCTTGGAGTAGAGTAATAATTCTTGATTTTGTACTTTGCACAGAAGCTCTTGATTAGCTTACTGTCAAACTGTGTATCATTGTCTGCTATTATTTCCCTTGGGATCCCAAACCTAGTGATGATGTTCTTCC